AAAATACCATATACCTATATACCATATAATCTTTTCTTTCTTTTTCTCTTTTTCCAAGACAGAGTCTCACTCTGTCACCCCAGCTGGAGTGCAGTGGTGCAATCCTCGGCTCACCGCAACCTCCGCCTCTCAGGTTCAAGCAATTATTCTCCTGCCTCATCCTCCTGAGTAGCTGGGATTACAGGTGCACGCCACCTCCCCAGCTAATTTTTGTATTTTTAGTAGAGACAGGGTTTCAGCATATTGGCCAGGACAGTCTCGATCTCTTGTCCTCGTAAAAACCTGACAACCTAGGGACTGGTTTTTGTATGGTTGGTTTTACGTGTCTGTCTGGCCCAAACAGAGTTTTGGGTCTTTGTTTTTGTTTTTGTAGCGCAGGGTTTCACTCTGTCACCCAGGCTGGAGAGCAGTGATTCGATCACAGCTCACTACAACCCTGAACTCCTGGGCTCAAGCAATCCTCCTGCCTCAGCCTCCCAATCTGTGGGAATTATAGGCATGAGCCACCATACCTGGCCAGTTTTTTTTTAATGAAACTGATTGGCAGCTTTTAAAAACTAGGAGAAATCCTGTAAAAATCTGGAGTTCCGTTTTTCTTGACAATTCAGTCTGACAATGCAGGCTAAACTGGCAAGAGCCACATCCTTTACAAATCCCAAAATGTCACCTTGCCCCGGCCCCAAAAGCTGATATATCCAAAAGGCACAGAAGACAAACTTTGCAGCAGACGGGACTGAGCTGGAAGGCCAAACTCTACCACAAACCATGGGTGGTCCTGGGGTAGGTAACTTGCTTCTCTGTGCTCCAGTTTACATTTCTGTGAAACAGAGATATTAACTACTTTAAAGGCTGCTGTCGTTTAAAAAAAAAAAAAGTTTTATTGGCTGGGCATGGTGGCTCACGCCTGTAATCCCAGAACTTTGGGAAGCTGAGGTAGGCAGATCACCTGAAGTTGGGAGTTCAAGACCAGCGTGACCAACATGGAGAAACCCCATTTCTACCAAAAATACAAAATTAGCGGGGCATGGTGACACATGCCTATAATCCCAGCTACTAAGGAGGCTGAGGCAGGCGAATTGCTTGAACATGGGAGGCAGAAGTTGCAGTGAGCCGACATCACGCCATTGCACTCCAGCCTGGGCAACAAGAGCAAAACTCATCTCAAAAAAAAAAAAATTATTACAGAGAGTAAAATTCACTTTTGGGGGAATACAGTTCTATGAGTTGTAACACCTGCATATATTTCTGTAACCACCACCACAATGAAAACACAGAGCAGGTCCATCTCCCAAAGAATCCCCTCCTAATGTGGAGGCGAACCCTCCTCCACCCCAAGCCCTGGCTATCACTGATCCGTTCCCCCATCTCTGTAATTCTGCCTTTTCCAGTATATTTTTGAAGGAAGTCCTGTTTTATTAGCTATAATAATTTCATCATTATCCAAGGTGCTCCCTCTCATTCTCCCTGTCTATGAAAAGAAGTTCCACAGCCGATAAACATAATCAAGCCCCATAAAGCATTTGCTCGGTCCCTGGGTGGTGGCTGGAGAATTCCTTAGCATTGCCCTCTTTGTTCCAATCTCATTCCCATCCATGGCACTTCCTTCGGTCCCTAGCTGGTCACTGCAATCCCAGCCCACAAAATGCCCACATTCTCAATGCTCTTGTTCCTGCTGAAGAAAATAAGAAGTGTGTCCTGGGCCTCGAAGAACTCCCAGAGGAGACACAAGAGAGCCTCGGATCCCCTGGTACCCACCCACCACAATGCCACACGCCAGGAAAAACCCTTTCCCTCCCACAACGGATCAAGCCAAACGAAGACCCACAGTGTCACGAGGAAGCCCAGTGACCACCCAGTTTCAGGAAACAGCTATTCTTGACAAGCATGACTGGCAGAGAGGAAATGTCACCGTGAGAACGCCTCCAAACAGCGTTTCTTTTCAGGGTATGGAGGTGGAAGGAGGGCGTGAGAAAGCAAACCACATTTCTGGGAACAATGAATGTTCCCAAGGAAGCACATGGGTCCCTTTTCACTCAAGTGAGGAACCAACCGATTGGTCTGAATGGGAGCCCCGGAAGCAGCGGCCCTGACCATCCTATTACATCTGGGCTTCACTCACAGGTGAGCCGGGATGGGAGCCAGGCTGTCCTCCAGCCCTGCTGCTTCTAGGATCCTGGGCACCCCATGCCTCCTCTCCAGACCCCCGTTTTTCTCCATCTGAAAACGGCACTGTAGGACAAGATGGACCTGGAGGGCACCAACCACCAAAGGCGTGGAATTCACATAGAAGCATCACTGGGCACAGGTGGCCGCCCTCTCTTCCTGAAACCCCGACACTGGAGGCTCAGGGCCTGGTGTGGCTCCTCCTGACCCGCCCTCCTTTTCAGGCTCCACCCCTTGCTTCTCCTCCTCCCCGTGCTCAACGTCCCAGGGCCCTCACTCCTGGCTCAATGCTCTACCCTTGACTCGAAACCTCAGTAAGCCAATAGGGCTGGCGTCTTGGTTGAGTGGGGCCGTCCTATGCGCTGGGGGATGCTTAGCAGCAACTCCGGCCACCAATCATTCGATGCCAGCAGCATCCCCATCACCCCCTCAAAGTCATGAGAACTGCTGCTCTAACCCAATCCCACGTACACATCGAGATTCCCAGAATTACACCTCCTGCCTGAACCTGGCCGCACGCACCCTACTTCCTGCCTCCAGCTGCCCTGCCGACGTCTCCACAGAGGGATGTAACAATGGCTCAAATTTACAGAATTTAAACTGGACCCTTGGCCGCTGCTCCTGCCGTACCCAGATCTATCAGCACAATTACTGACACAATCTAGAAATTCTCTGCTGGGGGACCTGTTCTACAGGTTGTAGGACGTGCAGCAGTATCCAAGGCCTCTATCCATCAGATGCCAGGAGCCCCCCAACCCTAGGTGTGACAATCAAAAATGTCTCCAAACATTGCCAGGGGGTGGGGCAGGTGATACAAAATTGCCCCCCGATGAGAATGACTGATGTGGACTATTCTAAACACAGCACAGGGAGCTCCTTCTGAGGTGTGAAGTCCATTCACAACCCTCCTGCACTGAACCCTCCACACCAGGGTCTGCGAGACCCCCATACTATCTCCGACTCCATGGAGTGACCTCATCCTCACTCACTGTGATGCAGCCACCCTGGCCTACTTGCTAATCACACAACACACCCAGTTACTCCTACGGCACACCAACTTAATCCTGACCCTACGGCCTTTACAATCTCTTATTCTTTCTAGAATCTTTTTCCTCCTAATGCTGGCCTGGATGGTTTTTCTTGTCATGTAAACTTCAGCTCAAATATCACCTCCCAAAGAGGCCCTGTTTAACCCCTCCACCTAAGTGAACTATGACATCTGCCTCCCAACTTGCCCATCTCTCGCCTGACCAGACATCTGTCATGGTGTGAACTGCCTATCTTGGTGTGAACTGTCTCTCATGGTGTGAATTGCCTTGATTATTCTCTCTCCCTTTCTAAAAACCTAACCTCTACAACAGCAGGACCTTAGCAGACTTGCTTTCCACTCTATCTCCACGCCTAGAATAATGCACAGCACACAACAGATGTTCAAGAAAAATCTGTGCCAGGTGCAGTGGCTCAGGCCTGTAAGCCCAGCACTTTGGGAGGCCAAGGTAGGTGGATCACCTGAGGTCAGGAGTTCGAGACCAGCCTGGCCAACATGGTGTAACTCTGTCTCAACTAAAAACACAAAAATTAGCTGGGCAAGATGGCAGGCGCCTGTAATCCCAGCTACTCAGGAGCCTGAGGCAGGAGAATTGCTTGAACCTGGGAGGCGGAGGTTGCAGTGAGCCAAGATCACGCCATTGCACTCCAGCCTGGTGGACAAGAGCAAGACTGAGTCTTAAGCAAATAAACAAAAAAAAAAATCAGTAGTGAGGATGCAATGAATCAATCAATAATGAATCCATTACGGGCCAGGCACAATGACTCATGCCTGTAATCCCAGCAGTTTGGGAGGCTAAGGTGGGAGGACTGCTTGAGGCCAAGAGTTCAAGACCAGCCTGGGCAACACAGCAAGACCCAATTGCTATAAAAAATTTAAAACTTAGCTGAGTATGCAGCTAAAAACTAGCTAGGCCTGTAGTCCTAGCTACATAGGGAGGCTAAGGCAGGAAACAGCTTGAGCCCAGGAGTTCAAGATTGCAGTGAACTATGATTGCACCATTGTACTCCGGCCTGGGTGACATGCCATCTCTAAGAAAATAGTTATCATCACCATCATCATCATCATCATCATCATTATTCAGGAAATGAAGACCAGAATGTAAGAATTAGAAGAGAAGCAAGGAATATCAGAGTATGCTGTATGTAGGAAAGGTAACTACTGATTCCTTCTACTTGCTTCTGTGCCATGGGTGTAATTTACAAATAGGAGAACTGGGTTACTGTGGTCAAGGGCAAATGAGGTGAAAACACTGGCCTGGAGTACCTCTACATAAAAGCACTTAGGGCCACGCACGGTGGCTTATGCCCGTCAGACCCCAGTACTTTGGGAGGCAGAGGTGGGCGGATCACCTAAGGTCAGACCAGCCTGGCTCACATGGTGAAACCCCACCTCTACTAAAAATAGAAAAATTAGATGGGCATGGTTGTGCACACCTGTAGACCCAGCTACTCGGGAGGCTGAGACATGAGAATCACTTGAACCTGGGAGGTGGAGGTTGCAGTGAGCCAAGGTCTCGCCATTGCACTCCAGCCTGGGCAATAAGAGTGAAACTCCATCTCAAAAAGAAAAAAGAAAAAAAAAAGGACTTTGTATGTCAATAGGCCCCAGGAAATCCCTTACTTGTTCTTTTCACAGATCTTTTCTCACCTTTATCCACTGAAACTTTTACATTTTTTGCGTAGAGAAAAGAGTTGAACGTTCAAGAACCAAATACAAAAGAGGAGACGTTATTTGCAAAAATATCCACAGTTGCCACAGAAAGATACTGGCAAAAACTGTAACTGACCCAGGTTAAGATTCAGGATGCTGCCGGTGGTGGATGTTTTGTCCATTTTCGTCGTGATGGGAGTTGACAGTTGAGGAGAGAAGGGCTTTGGGCTGCCGGATAAACTCCCTGCTTGTCCCGCCTTGGTGGAGGCTGGTGAAGCTGAAAAAGTAGGGCATTATTAAAAGACAGGTTTACAAATAAACAAGTCAAACGTATAGGTGTGGTGCAGGGAGAGAGTGGAGAAATAATGACATTGTGGCCGATACAGCATCACAGAAGGGGTGGGGCGGGGCGGGGCAGGCTGGCCATTTATTTTCAGCAAAAGGCTTTAACCCGACGTGAAACCATTAAAGCTACAAATGAGGAAGGTTTCTCCAGTTATTCTATTAACCACAAAGCTCTAAGACAAATCGGCTAAGCTGCCACTGAAATTGGTTTGGCCCATTCATGGGTATAAATCTCAACATAAATAGCGAGTAAACCAACCCCCACATGGTCCAGATGTGGAGAACGGGAGCCAGGCTTACAAATGCGTGTCATCCATTTGTAGAAAGAAAGACTCTGCGGTCAGCTCACATGTGGCCACTGCACCTGCCAGGGACCAGCTCGGCCCCTTGGGAAATCTCCAGCTCCCATTTCAAAGGCTCTTGAGGCTGTGTGAAGCCAAATCCAGTACCAGATGGAGTGACGGGAACATTGGTAAATTATCTCCTTCTTTACTGTATTTCAAACTTTTACAGGAGACAGAACCGTACCCACGCCTAAGGCTTTTAGAAATACCTTAAAATGAACTATAACCTGCCTCTCCTCTCTTTTCACAGGGTTAGGACCAGAAACCACTTACATTTTAAAAAGCAGAGAGCCTCCTAAAGATCCTTTGAATTCTGCCGCTTTGCCCTTGCCCCTCCATGGTACTAAGACTGCCCTGTTAATGCCCATTTAAAAACAACTGGGACATCCGGGCATGGTGGCTCATGCCTGTAATCCCAGCACTTTGGGAAGCTGAGGCGGGCAGATCACCAGCAGCCTGACCAATATGGAGAAACCCTGACCCTACTAGAAAAAAGAAAATACAAAATTAGCCAGGCATGGTGGTGCATGCTTGTAATCCCAGCTACTCGGGAGGCTAAGGCAGGAGAATTGCTTGAACCCAGGAGATGGAGGTTGCAATGAGCCAAGATTGTACCCCTGCACTTCAGCCTGGGCAGCAGAGCAAGACTCCATCTCAAAAAAAAAAACACACACATACACACAAAAAAAACAGCTGGGACTAAAGGCAGGACTGACAACAATGACAACCAACTCTTCCAAGACAAGAAACATTCTGAGCTGATCTGGTCCTTGAAAGGAATTTGTTGATGGCAAATTGGAGTTAGGGACTGAGAATCCTCAGGGACTTCAAAAGTGCTGGGGCACTTGGGTGGGCACTTGCCTCAGTTTCCCCATCTGACAAATTGGAAACTCAGAACAAGGCTTCAGTGTGTTAAAACTCACATACCGGTTGGGTGCGGTGGCTCACGTCTATAATCCCAGCACTTTGGGAAGCCTAGGCTGGCGGATCATGAGGTCAAGAGATCGAGCCCATCCTGGCCAACACAGTGAAACCCCATCTCTACTAAAATACAAAAATTAGCGGAGCATGGTGGCGCGCACCTGTAGTCCCAGCTACTCAGAAGGCTAAGGCAGGAAAACTGCCTGAACCCGGCAGGCAGAGGTTGCAGTCAGCCGAGATCGCGCTACTGCACTCCAGCCTGGCGCCTGGCGACAGAACAAGATTCTGTCTCAAAACAAAAAACAAAAAAAAATTAAATACCAGCTCGGCGGTGAATCCACAAGAGCGAGGCAGCTCTGGTGCCAGGACCTGTCTGCACTACCGTTAATGTAACATAGTGGGAAAGACTCCAGACGTAAAGAGGCCTGGATTCAAGCATGGATCAGAAGCCAGACACTGAGGATTCAAGTCCCAGCTTAGCTGTTGCCCTGCTGTGTAACCCAGGGCCGGTTACTGGCACCTCTGCCTCTCTCTTCCTGGCAGCAGCAAAGAGAGACACTAATAATATGATACAAAGGGATGATAACAGTAGCTACATCTCATCAGGCTGCTGTGAGAATTCAATCAATCATCCGAACAGTGCCTGGCATCCAGTAAGTACTCTGTTACTGTTTGCTATTAGAGTGGTTTTATTTTCTGTTTCCCCATTAACCTCTAAGGATTTGGGGTTATCCTCTGAACCAGATTCTCAGCTATGAGCAATTCTTTTCCCCAGGGCTACACGGGGCAGTGCGTGCAGACATTTTAGGAGGGTGGGGGGTTGCTACTGGGATCTGAGAGGCAGAGACCAAAATGCTGCAAAATCTTCTACAATGCACAGAACGGTCCCCCACAAGAAAGACTTATCTGGCCCCAAATGTCAACAGTGCTGAAACTGACACACCACATAGGGATGGAGGAGGCCATGCAGCTGGGAATCCTTTTCCTCGTCTGGAAATGAGAAGGGAGTGAGGATCAATGTCCTCGATCTATGCCAATTGGTGCTCAGCAAGTGCTCAATAAACATTAGAAATTGTTTTAAGAAATAAGTTTTTCGACGCCAGAACTGTTGTTTAAAGAAAAAAAAAAAAGAAATGTTTTGTTTTTGCTTTTGTTTTTTTGAGTCGGAATCTCGCTCCTCCGCCCAGGCTGGAGCGCAGTTGTGCAATCTCAGTTCACTGCAACCTCTGCCTCCTCCTGGGTTTCAAGTGATTCCTGCCTGAGCCTCCTGAATAGCTAGGATTTTACGCTCCCACTACCACACCTGGCTAATTTTTGTATTTTTAGTAGAGACAAGGTTTTACCGTGTTGATCAGGCTACTCTGGAACTCCTAACCTCAAGGGATCTACCTACCTCAGCCTCCCAAAGTGCTGGGATTACAGGTATGAGCCACTGCACCCAACCTAGAATTAAGTTTTTAAAACAATAAATCTTTTTACTGCAAGGATTAACAGAATTGGCCTAGCACATGGCATGCCACATTCCTTGGGGGGCTGTTATTATTATTACACGGTCCTATCACTGGTACTGTCAGAAAACTAAAGTGTTTGTTACATAAAGAAACATGAATAGGCCAGGTGTGGTGGTTCACCCCTGTAATCCCAGCATCTTGGGAGGCTAAGGTGGCAGGATCGCTTGAGCTCGAGAGTTTGAGGCTAGCCTGGATAACAACATGGCAAAACCTAATATCTAATAAAAATACAAAAAAAAAAAAAATTAGCCTGGTATGGTGGCACACGCCTGTAGTCCCAGCTACAAGGAGACTGAGATGGGAGGATCCATTGAGCCTGGGAGGTCGAGACTGCAGTGAGCCGTGATCACACCGCTACACGCCAGCCTGGGAGACAGAGGGAGACCCTGTCTCCAAAATAAATAAATAAATAAATAAATATCCAGGCATTTTAAGAGAAGTAGTACCAATCAAATGTTTAACATTAGCATTTTTAACACTCTTCATTCATTTATGTTCTACCTCATTCCAAAAGCAATTTGCAGCTGCTCAAATATCTGTGTAATAGATTCCCCGTGAGAATTAAACACCAGGACTTCTCTAATTGTGTTCCCTTAAAAAAACTAGCCAAGTCTAATAGGCAGGGCCTTACTATACTATCAAATACGCTGCCTGGGAATGCCGAGAACTTTGACAAGGAGGCCAAACCCTAAAGGGTGGCAGGAATAAACAAACAAACAAAAACTAACAAAGATGCAGGCAGAACACAGCCAAGGGAATCCACGTTTTCCTGTTCGACAGGTCAAGTGTGTTTGTTTGTTGTTTGTTGTTTGTTTTTTTTGAGGCAGTGTCTCACTCTGCTGCCCAGGCTGGAGTGTAGTGGGGTAATCTCGGTTCACTGCAACCTCTGCTTCCTAGGTTCAAGCAATTCTCCTGCCTCAGCCTCCCGAGAAGTGGGGACTACAGGTGTGTGCCACCATACCCAGCAAATTCTTTTGTATTTTTAGTAGAGATGGGGTTTTGCCATGTTGACCAGGCTGGTCCTGAACTATTGACCTCAGGTGATCCACCCACCCCAGCCTCCCAAAGTGCTGGGATTAGGTATGAGCCACCACACCCAGCCTATTTTTATTATTCTATATATACATTCATGTATACTAAAAAATTAGTAACTAAAACAAGCCTTTAATTTGATACATACATAGTATTTCCTTTGTTAATAAAGAAACAACTGTTGAGATTTCAGAGATATGTTATAAATATTAAGAGTTATGGCTGGGTGCAGTCATGAGTTCAGGAGTTTGAGACCAGCCTGGCCAATATGGTGAAACCCCATCTCTACTAAAAAATACAAAAAAAAATTAGCTAGTCATGGTGGTATGGCCTGTAATCCCAGCTACTCAGGAGGCTGAGGCAGGGGAATTGCTTAAACCAGGGAGATGGAGGTTGCAGTCAGCTGAGATCACGCCCCTCCACTCCAGCCTGAGTGACAGAGCCAGACTCCATCTCAAAAAAAAAAAAAAAAAGAGAGAGAGAGAGAGAGAGAGCTATGACTAAACAGATCACCAAAAAATGCAAGTCAATACACATGAGGGTGTAAGTGGTACTGGCAGAGAGACCAGAGATGGTTCTCAGCCTCCTAAGTGCACAGAACAGCCTCACAATAGAGAATTATCCGGTTCAAATGTCAATGGCGCTGAGGTTGAGAAAAACCCGTTTCAAATCACTCCAGACATTTTCAAAGGCAAAAAGACTTGGAAATGCTTGTTTCAATTAAACTTTGAAACAGATGCCAATCCTTTTATAATGCCATACATCTTGCCCAAAGGAAGAACTAATTGCCTTTGAAGTCACAAATAATTTAACCAGATTTCATACTTTGATGTAAGATTCACAAGCGTAGGCTAAAACACATCATTTGTTATCTGCATTGACAAAATGCTAGTCTGTGTGAAGGGCTGTTCTGACTACCATAGGAAACATGAGCCTTGGAATTTCAACAAGGAAAAAAATGCCCCTTCCCTCCCATGCACTGCAGCACTCTGGGCGTGGGGGAGAGGCGGAGTGAAGGATTCCTGCTAAATGTCCTCCACTTTAGAACCTCAGAAACAACCTGTATATTCAAAGTGCCACACCTTGCACAACTCCTATGGTGCCATGCACAGATGAGCACAGCA